TTTTTCTGGAAAAATGTCTGGGAAATCTAAATTTAAAAATTCCTGAAGTTTCATATTAGCTTTTTGCCTTAAAATTTCTTTTACTTTTGTTTTTACAATTAGCATGACCATATTTTGTAAAATGATATTCTACTATGGTGTCTGCTCAAATGCATCCAATAACAGCTGGAATGATTGTCATCTTCACTGGACATAAATAGGTTTTGCTAGTCTTTGGAATGGTTATTATCTTACAGTTTGAAGGGTCCTTGCTACTTTTATGTGTTTTGTTTGAGTTTTTGGAGGAAAAATAAACATGTGTGTGTGTATGTGTGTGTGTGTTTGCAAAATGAACATTTTATCAAAAGGAACAGAGATGAACAAAGTAAATTCAACTTAAGGAGTAAGAAAAAATGCAAAATGACTGACTCCAACAAAATGAAACAAAGGAACAAAGGTAAAAGCAGAAATTTATGAATTAGAAAACAAAACAAGTGAATTTGATCAATTGAAAAGCTTTCCTTGGAAAGGTAAGTAAAACAGACAATTGCATGGTAAAAGCTAGTGAAGAGATTGAGACAAGAGAAAAATAACTAAGAAGTGGAAAGGGAACATCCCTCTTGTTCCGTTTCCTTTGCTCCTCAGTTTCTCCAAACCGTGGTTCTTGCTCAGGCCAACAGCGCAGCTGCCTCCTGGACACATGGATGCCGCAAGAATTCGCTGGCTCAGGTTCCCTTTTCCTCCCCGGAGAGTTTCCACACAGCAGGTCACGTGTCTCGGCCATCTGGCACTGCTCGCCTCAGCGGCACTAATTCTCCCTCACCTCTGCCCGTTTTGGGGTCTTCCAGCTTTTCCCCAAATACACTAAGCTGTGCCCTGCTTCTCTGGTTTAACCGAGCAGCCTCCTTTGGTGTGGTACCCTCTTCCCACTCCTACCATCTGAGCTTTTTCCTTCAGTCCTTCAGCCCTAGCCTAAGTGTATTTATTCCTCTTTTCAAAACCATTTCCCCAGGATTGGGAATTTAGCTCAGTGGTTTCATCGCCTGCTACACAAGCTCAAGGACCCCAGTTCGATCTCCAGTACCAAGGGGAAAAAAAAAACCATTTCCCCATTGGAGCTCCTAACTTTTGAGGTCCACCTCTTGCAGACAGGCTGTTATTCATTGCTTATTTCCTAACACACACACCTGAGTGTTCCCTAAGAGCCTGTAGGGGAAAGGCGTGAACTAGACTATGCAGACTCAGGGCAGGGTCAGCAGGGTGGGGAGTCTTTGAAGACCTGGTGTGTGCCCCACCTCCCTGACTGGACCTCTCTGGATGAGCAAGGTAGGAAGGGAAAGCATTTGCGACCCTGGACTGTCACATGGGGAAGGGGGGGAGCAAATTAGGATGATCTGTGTGCTGATAACTTGTGTGAGGCACTTATGCAGGAAGTCTATAATGCTTGCTGACTATGCGCCAGACACCGTGCTAGACTCTGGGGCCAGAGCTAGGAATTAGTGATGAGGAGCTCACATTCTAGTGGTGACACCAGGTGAATAAGAACCAGGTCGGCCAGCAATGTAGAAGATGGTTGACAGTAGCAAGGCATGTGGCATCAAGAAACTAGCATGTGGGAGATGATGGGGCTCAGGGGCTGCATCATACTCAGCGCATAGCAAAAGGGTCTTCAAGAAAGTAACAGTCATGCAAACTGGTTAACAAGGAGCCACGCTTGCAGAATGGCCCTTGGTCAGTGTGGCTGCCCTAACAAGCAGGCTAGGAAGCCGGTAAATCATCGAAGTTCTCTCCTCACCGTCTTGGAGGCTGAGAGTTCAAGACCAGGGTGCTACCTGGCGAGGTTGCAGTGAGGGCCTACTCGAAGGTCATCCTGTCACTCTCGACCTCCACCCATCCAGGCGAGGGGCACTTGACCAGTCCTGGAGCAGGGTCCCCATCAGGGGCGGCCGCAGGGTGCTGTGCAGGAGGGAACCGAGGAAGAGCAACCTAGGAACTGTGTTATAGGAAAAGCTATGTTTTTATTTAGCCGGAGTGATGCAGATTTTGAAAACTGTCGATCTTCCCCGAAGATGGTTGTACCCACACCTCCCAGATAAAATCGAGACATTTGTCCTCGCTGGAGAACGAGACTGCATATGGGAGATCATCAGGAGTGGAAGGTGCTGCACATAGGCACCTTTGGGTGGCACCACTGAGACTGGCCGGTCCCGGCGGTTGTGCACAGGACATTGCGATGACAGAAGCTTGATACCTATCCCTCCTCTGGCAACAGCAAGACTTCCGCGCCACTGGCGGGCAGGGACCTAGTTCGCATGCGCGGGGGCGGGCGCCTGGGGCAGGGCGCAAGGTCGCCCCTCGGGCTGGTGGCCGGTACTGGCGCGACGTTCCCCAAGCAGACGGTGTTCGTGGACCCTCTGGCGCCACCTCTGTCCCTGCCCGCGTTTCGCCTTGGGAGCAGGCCCGGCTGGGTAGGGCCGGCAGCGAGAGCGCTGCCCTGGAGCAGCCTCCGTCCTCACCGCCGCCGCGGGCAAGCAGGCCTGGTCCCCAACCGCCCCCTGGGCAGCGTCCGCGGCGTCCCTACGTCGGCGTCGCCGCCCGAGCGCAGCGTCCGCCTGTCCCCCAGGATCGCCCGGCCGCTGCCCGAAACCCGCGAGGAGCTGTGGCGTCGCCTGCGCGGCCTCATCAAGGACAGCCTGTGATGATCTTCAGCAAGAGGTGCTGTGCCCACAGCACGCGGGTAGGGGCGCGGCCCGGCCTCGTGCAGTGCACAGAGGGCGACAGAGTGGGGCGAGGCCGCGACCTCCTTCCGAGTCGCCCAGGGCCAGATCGAGGTCTGTTGCGGGTGACCCGGGGCGCTCAGCCCGAGCAGCCTTGGTGCGAGAAGGCCGGGGAGAAGGTGGGATGGGGGCCCGAAGTCGGGGTCATTCAGGCTCTGCTGCCTTCGGGGCCGGGTGGGCATTGGACGTCCTGTCAGGAGCAAACCTGTATTCTCAGGGGCCGGGTGAGGGGCAAAGCAGAGCCCTCCGGGTGCGCGAGAGGCCTTGGTTCCATCCCCGCACCGAGAAAATCAAAAAGCAATTAGAAATGAACCTTTGGATCCTAACTCACCTGTGAAATAGGGACTTTAAATACTTTGAACTTTATGTCACATTATCAGAAAATTGAAAAATGAGACTTGGAAGATAATATAAGCACAACTGTGGGGTCAAGCTCATGGAATTACAAGGCATCATTTTCAAATTTGATGCTTACATTGATTATACATACCAATATATATTCTTAAAACATGTATTCAAGCTTATTTACTCGAAAGAATAAGATGATGTTAATCACTTGGAAGTCTCCTGGGGTATCTCCTCCCACCCCCACAGGATTAACTACTGGCCAGAATTCCTTATTCTTACTTAGTCTCACCAAATACCTTCATACATACATATGTATAGTTAATAGTTTGTTCTTTTTTCCCTGTTTTGGGACTTTTTGTAGATAGAATCTTTTGTAGTTTTTTTCCTCAAGGATTGTTAGACCAGAGAGTCATGCCTGTTAGTACCTGTAGCTCTGGCTCATTAATTTTTATTGCTGGGCTATCCCTTAGGGTGAGTCCCACAGTTTCTCATTTTGATGTTTCTAGTATTTTTTTCATGAAAACAGTATGGCTGCATGGCTGTTATTGGGCATATCTCCCAGTGCACATAAGCAAGACTTACTCTAGGGTAGAGATCTTGAAGCTGAACTGCTGGGCCAGGAAAGATCCATGAAATCATCATTGCCAAAGTGACACCCACCCGTTTCTCCAGGTGGTTATAGCAGTTTGCCCTCATGCCCATGTATAACAGTTCCTCTTACTCTGTCACCCTGCTAACTATCAAGATTTTTAACTTGTGCCATCCTGGCAGTTATGAAATGGTATTTCCTTGTAGCTTGAATTTTGCATTTACCTGATGAACTTCACATGTTTATGGGTCACTTGAAATAATCCTCTTGTCTGAAACATCCAGGTCTTTTGCTCTTTTTTTTTTCTTTCTATTGAGATGTTTTCATTTTTTTGTGTGGATTTGTAGGTGTTCTTTATCTATTTTGAATACTAATCCTTCAGTTACACAGATTGGAAAATCTCCCCGATTTGACTGTTGTTTTTATTCTCTTTTTGGAATCTTTTGGTTCACTGAAATTTGCAACCTTCATGTCACCGAACCTATCACTTTTTTGTAAGCCAGCTTGTGCTTTTTCTGTCTTATTTAGGAAACCTATTTCTCTCCTTTATGGTCATAAAGATATTCTCCTGATTTAGCTACTGGGAGCTTTATAGCGTGCTTCCCACACTCGAGTTCCTTAATCCCCCCGGAACTGGTGGCGGTGGTGTGAGTGCAGCCCCGTGTGCTTTTTCTCTCGGATTTGGTTGGCCGTGTCTCACTTTCTGCAGAGGCTGTCCTTTCCACACAAGTGTGAGTGCTTATTCATCAGTCGCTGTGTGATAGCGAGCTATCGGGGTTATCTAGGTAGCTCATTCCCACCCTGGCTGAGGCTTCCACTTCCTCCACAGCAGGTGCAGCCCTGGTCACAGGATTAGCAGGACTCTGGCTGTGTTCTGCTGTCTGTCTCTGCTGGTGTCACATCCATGCTTTAGGCTCCACAAGTTGCAGGCTGGTTACTCTGTTATTCTTGACAGTACCTTGGGTGTTCAATGTTCTGTACTTTGATCTGATTAAATCTAGGAAAGGATAATTTTTGAGGGAAGCTTTGAAGTTCACTGTGACCTTATGAGGACCATTCTTAGCCTTATCTGTCTCTTTCCCTCATTCTCTCTGCTAAATTAACTGGCAGGCTAGTTTAGCTTCTTGGCTGTAATGGAGCCATCAGTTTCTCTTAATTTCTTACCCCTGAAAGCTGCATTTTTTTCCTTTCCTTCCCCTTCTCTCTCTCTTTCTCTCTCTCTCTCTCTCTCTCTCTCTCTCTCTCTCTCTGTCTTTCTTTCTTTCTTTCTTGAAACAGGGTCTCATTATGTAGTGCAGGCTGGCCTGGAACTCACTGAGATCCTTCTGCCTCAGCCTCCCAAATGCTGGGATTACAGGCTTGTGCCTGTCCATTGGTTTGTTTTGTGGTTTTTTTTGTTGTTTTGGTACTGAGTATTGACGTCCTTGTGCTTGTGAGGCAGGCAGCAGAACCACTGAGCTAAAAATCCCCAGCCCTGTCCATTGTTTTTGACAATATCTTTTTTTTTTTTTTTTTTTTTGGTACCAGGGATC